TTACCGGGTCTCGCAGTGGTAAGTTGATTACCGAGGCGTTGGAAGGAGCTAAGACGGGCGTCCTGCGCCTTTGAGGCGGTGGAGACAAGGAGAATGGGGTGGGCTTAACACCAACGCCCCCCCAAGGTGAACACCGCACGAGCAGGAGCTGCGACCCCCCCCCCCCCCACTTACCCGGGGCAAGTCTCTCGAGAAAGTGCCCTCTGCGGCGTCGGCGCCCGTAAATGTCCGAGTAGCCCTGGCAACTTGGACCCCCCCACGAATGCTGTCGCCCGCTCCCCCCTCCCTTGTAGTTCTGTCCTACAAAGAGGGGGGCGGCGGAGGTAGCTACATGGGTGCGCCCGAGTAGCCCTCCGCAGCGGACGGGGGGCGGTACGGTGGGCACTAGGCCACGTATTCAGCCCCCACGCGCGGGCCATTCTGCGCACGTCTGCGGGGTCCCCGTAATACCTCGGGAGACCCCTGCCGTGGAGCCCCGGCGAGGCCGGGAAGCTGATGGGTGCGGAATCGCGGAAGAATCCCTAAACGGGGACCCCACGGCTTCGCATAAAGCAGTGTATAAGGTATTCGCAGAACTTTTTTAGCGGATATTATGCCGAAAAGCGCCCATTAGAGTTGTGGGGTCCTCGGTGGTCAGCCACTGGGGGGTCCGTAAAACTTGCGGGAGCCAGGTGTAAGTTCCGTTCGGCGGTGTGCCTCTTAAAGGCGCCGTCGTCTGTAAAAAGATTTTTTACCTGCATTATAAAAAAAAAGGGTAAATCATAATGGGGTTACTTCTTATTAAAATATTTTCTTTATTCTTCAATCTAAGTAGTCAGCTCATATTATATTATATATTTTTTATGGAAAAAGTTTCAATCGGTAGTAGATACTATTACAAATGCGACGTTACGCCAGTTTCTTTTTGTTTTCCATTATTTTCATAGTTTTTCCATTATCTTTATAGTTTATGTGAAATAGCTATTCAGCTAGGGTTCGTTAAGGCGCAACACAAACGGCGCAGGTCGGGCAAACTGCCTCGAGCGATAGGACAAAAGGAATCGTATACTAAACACTGCTCAGGCGCGAGTTAAAAGCGATTATGTGCACAGTGCCTCAATGCAAGATGCCACACTGCTGCAATAATGCCTAATTATTCATTTTGTCTAAGAAGCAGATTGCCTACAATGTAACAAGACTATAGTGTATGCTGACCACCGTCCATTTGAAGTCTTAAAATATTAATACATAATAAAAAAAACTGTATTCTTAAAATAAAACACAAATCTTCTATTCCTTAAAAATTAAAAAAGAAACCCCTAAATGCTCCTTAAAAATAGAAATATTTTTAACTAAAAACTGAGCATTACATTATTTGCTAGTATCAAATAACAACAACCCTTTGCAACAAGAGTTTCCAAACAAACTTTCGCATTAGGCAATAAAGAGTCGTGGTGCATTTTAGGCATTTCGATTTATAGACGAAATAACATTTAGATAATTACAATGTCTAGGCAATCTGCTTCTTTGTCTATTGACGTTTTAGGCATTTTTGCAGCAGTGGCATCATGCATTTTATACACTGTGCTCATAACCGGTTAAAAACAGGGTCACCAGGGTGTCGGTTCTGAGCTAAATTCTGAAAACTACAGTGCGACAAAAAACTTCATGAATGTGAGTGAGTGACAGTTCAGGGATGCCGCCACTGTCTACGTAAATAGCCATATATGATATTAAATATATGACGTTTACATAGACGAAACATCAAATGGAATCTTCATTTGATGTTTGTCGAACAACTGTGTGTAGATTCTGCTAAGTTAAAATAATAATCGTGTGTCTATGGAGTTTCAGTAGGTTTGTTTTTTGACACAATATTTCTCTGTTATTGTTATCTTAGTATAATACATTTTTTATTTTTTGCTTTAGACAAGATTATTACGTAAGATTAGCAGAATCGAAATCCAGTGTGCTCATCTATAGAACTTGCGGTCAATAAGAGCTCCGCGCCGTTTGCTGTGCGCCTTAATCATTCTGTCACCCAATCAGTCTCAGTAAACATTCTGAATGCGTATTGGTTTTATTGATCTAGCCGACAACGCCAACGATCGACGAACAGTATAATCGAACGTCGAGAATATAGACTAGGTTTACATCATTATTGTGCAATAAGTTTGCTAAGACTGCGAATAATGTCAACAACTGCAATGCAATAGACAAGATATCACGTAGGCACTACATTGTCATCATCATTTATTTCATCGTATATTATTTGGTTTTTTTATTTAAAACTAGGTTTTTCAATACCTCTTTTTCATTACTGGAAAAGGCGTGTCGCGTTCCCCGCCTCCGAGAGTTGCAACGGGGATAGTTTTGGACTCCTCCCTATTAATGTTACCAATTTCGGGAGCTTGAAATGAGCAGGGTGCTTTCCAGGAAAAACCAGGAAAGCACCGGTCACCCGACAAGCAATCTAAGGACCTCGAACCTCTTAGTGGGTGTCGAGAGTACGGCTGTGGTCACGGAGCCCGGTTTTAGCTAGCCACGTACCTGCAAGGTGATTGTCCGTTTCCGGGCAGCACCCATCACAGGGCTTTCCCATACTATCTCGCTAGCTCCCGGGGGGTTCTCTCATAACTGCGTAACCCGCTTCTTGATGGGTTTTTTTTCCGTTTGACGCACGGAACCCAAAAAAATAAAACTCTACCAGACCAAAATAAAAAAGTGTGAACTTCATGCTACTGAACTCTTGACGGAGTATTAGTTTACTATTCAACTTACTGTTTCCATATACAGGACCCATAAGAGTGGCAGCAGTTATGATAAGTTAAATTATAATTAAGTATGTATATCAAACGAGCTAGCAGAAGTGTTGTACTTTTAGTTTCTGTTTTCGAATATAATTCGCTTGTTATATTTATTTTAGCATTTTTAACTGCTAGATATTTAAAATTAAAGAAAATTTGACGAGAAAAAAAAACACTTAGTTCAGGCAGCAGATGGTTCTCGACCTCTGCTATGCTGCATCCGCCCGGATAGCGGAGAGTGCGGGTTCGACTCTTGTCCTTTTCCTGGTTTGGCATAATGACAGACATTGGCGACAGGCCAAATGTCATATTTTTAATTTTATTTGTAGTGCGTTGTGTTGTGTTTACCTGTTTGTTTTGTGTATCTGTTACATATTATTATTATCCAGTGAAAAGCGTTTTATGTATTTATATTCTCGACTGACTCGTAACCTGTAATTTGGTATGGATATACCGAATACAGAACATTTTTGTCTTAAGAAATTAATAGGTTTCTTTCAATTTATCCATTAAATAAAAGTAGTTGTAAAGAACACGTCAGTAACTGGCTGAAAACCTTAAACTAATTAGATACGAAAAAATTGCTGACTTTCGATATTTAATCATTTATTTATCATTATTATCAAAGTTTAGTGTTTTGGTTACTTTTTATTGCCTACGTACCTGTTAGCATGTAAGCCTGTTAGCTGCTCTACTCGTAAATGTGCTTGATGCGGTGATCGTGAGTGTTAAACCCAAACTATTAACTTCTTCAGTAATGAAAAGAATATTTATACACATACTATAACATGAATTGGTCAGTCTTTTTCTAACTCACAAACTGCTATTTTAATTTTATGGTCTGGTATGGTACTGGCTCGTTCTGGTATCCCCTACTGCCTTCTGGACTTGGGATTCTTTGTTTGGTTTCTCAAAGGTATAATAAATATTTTTGTGTATTGCGTTATATATACTATTGCACCTTACTAATAATTTTGTCAATACAGTCTGCAGTGTAATTAAAGCACTTCTTAGATACATGTCATTTTATGTATTTTTCAAATTTGGAATAGGTATTCAATTTTCCATTAAGATATGATATTTTTACAATAGATGTCGCTAAGTGCGCTTAAACGTGATTCATGTAAGTTGATAAACTTTTTTAATATAAATTGTCATGTTTGTGTACGATAGCGCAAAAAATAAATATTGTATTCTACCACATAAATGATAGTACTTTTATTCTGATAATTAAAGCCATTCGTACAAAATTATTCCCTAACTATTCCAAAATACCAAAAAAATGGTTGCCTGTAAAGTCGGTTTTACGGGCGAAGATTTTACGTGACAACGTCTTTTTCTCGGTAGAATATTTATTGATATGAATATAATTAAATTGCACAATAGGAACAAGGAATTGAATGAAAATAAGAATTGCACAAATTTTAACTATAGAAATATATTTTGTTTACTAAAACATTGTACATGTAAACTTAAACTTAACACGAGAGACTCATCGTAACGTTACCGAGCGTTACACTTTTTCATAAGTGACTCCCAGCCGCAACCTAATTTAAGACGTTGTCACGTCAAAATGCACAACGTTATTATTCAGGTTTAGACTTCTGCCGGCACTCCCGGAGTGCAACCCGTCGTTTTTTTTTGGAGTAGGTAACAAATTTAAGTAGTCACTATTTTAACAACATCTTTATCGTTAAGGCTAATCTCCAGAGATTGACCGCCGAAGACGTGTTGCTTGCCTCTGGATGTTTTATCGGCTACATTTCGGAGAGTGTGCGGAGGTATTCCACAAGTTGATCCCCCACTGGACGACCACCGGACGACCAGGCGCGGCAAGGGCTTTTACCCATATGTTGTCGAAGTTCCTCCCATTTGCACGAAGTGATTTGCTTCCGCTTTCATTATGCGAACGGCTAGGAACTCCTTGCCGAGGTCTGTTTTCCCGGACCAATATAATCTGGACATCTTCAAGGCCAGATTGAAAATGCATTTTCTAGGCAGGCGTGTACCATCCCAGGCCTCATCATCGCTTTCCATCAGGTTAGATTGTGGTCAAACGCCTTGCCTATTAAGCATAAAAAAATTACATGTAAAATGGCCATAACCTTCAAACATTAAGCGGAGTGTCTCTTAGATAAGAACTTACAGATAAGACATAATAACAACCGATAAAAATTATCACCTCTTCAGCCGACGTCAATATTCTCTCACTCAGTCTCATTTAGACCGTCATTTCATCATCACAATACAATGCCTTGTTTTAAGATTTTAACAAACTTACCTAAGAACAAAATACCAAATGACTTTGTGAAGAGAATCACACCAATTCTCTCCAGGACTGTCGGAAAACCGGAGAATGTAAGTTACCTAAGATAACTTGTATGTTAATCAATCGTGCACGTTTAATAATTATATCTATTTTTATACTGTTTGATAGCATATATATACGATAATAATAAACTTAATAATAATTGAAACGGTTGCTATGGTATTCCGTCAATATTATTTTATAATTTGAAATCGTGTTTGTTGCATAATTATATAATTGTTAAAATCCGGCACCGTGGACATCTTCAGCACCTCTAGTGGCCTCTAGTGAGCTTGGTAGAAAGTATAAATCAATACCGCAATAAAGAGGCATAACCTATAGATGGCGTGTTTGATGGTTTAACCACTTACAAGACTTTTTAGCTTTTCCATTTTTCCCGACATCGTCAGCATTTTTTATATCTTGTATTAACCAAAAACTTGAAAAAGCTAATAAAAAACGATAAAGGAGTTGATTTTTGAGTTTAAAATCATAGCACTAAAGGGCAGCATAGCAGTAGGCTTTTTTTTATCTCCGATTTTCCCGCAATCTGCTCTGTCGACATTAAGCTGGAAGTTAAGAATTTCGATACAAGCGAGAATGGTTCAGGAGCCAGTGATCCGTGCATTCATATAACTAACTTAAAGGTCTTGGGGTGCTGGACGCTTTTATTTTTGGAAAGTTTGCTTTAGGTCCTTCATTAATTCGGATGTCTCTACATCCGCTTGATATAGCTCGGTAGCAAATCTCTAAGGTTGCTCTATAACAGTTTATTCATGGTAGGCGTCTATCTATATGGATTCCCAAATAGCGGACATCATCAATTGATTGAGGTATTTTTATTCGATGAGTACACTGCTTCAGGACAGGACATGTATCTCATGTATCTCGTGTTAAGGTGAAAGTGACTTGAACAAATTTCGTTTCGTTTGCTTTTATACGCCAATCCTCATGGGCTGATGCTGTTTAAGCGGCGTTGTAATAATGTAATGTAATAAATATACAGTCGAACACAGAACCTCCTCCTTTTTTGCAGTAAGTTAAAAAATAAATGACCGATGTTCCTTTAGCCGTCTTGCCGACTGCCAGTTTTGCAGTATCATCAGAAAATGTACCAGTCAAAACATCTCCTTCAGTTGGAAGGTTTGAGGTGAATGCAAGATATATGACTGAGACCATTACACTCCCTGCCTTTATATCATGGAGTTTTGGAAAGCTATGTCCAAACTTGACATTAAAGTGTCTTTCACTTAGGTAAGATTTTACAAATAAATAGTTATTTATGGCCAGTGAACATTGAGGTTTTTAATGGTATCAAGTAATAATAAAAGTAGATAAAAAAGTTATCCAAAATAGAAGACACCTGACTAGTATTGTGTCAGGATTTCGGCTCTTTCTGCATCGCTTTTTGCCCAGGCTCAGTCGGGTGTTTTTATCGGAGATCGATTTATTATAGGTCTTTTTAGATTTTTCGTTTCAGAGGAAGCAGTCACTGCATGAAGTTGCACCGAGTCGTATTTTCTGTGCATGCTTAGAGCTCGTTTTAATTCAGCTGAAATTTGTTTAATGGAGCTATTTGTTCAGGACATTTTGTTCGATGGCACTGTTTTCTAGCTTTCCGTTATTGTCTAACCAATTCAAGGATAGGGTTTGGATAGAAGCAGGAACATATTTGTAAAGTTTGATCTGAGGTTGCCTGGTATTAATTTTGACTACACGATCATCATACGGAGCTCCTTATGTGTTTTTTTTGCATTAAATTCACCACCTGCTATAAATCGATGACCGTTCAGGGAAACATTAATTTTATCTTTTCATATTGTAGTTTGGAGGAATGTACAGTGCAGAATACAATAAATCGATATCTGAATTTTCCACCACGATGTTTTTAGCTTGTATTTGTTGAGTGCGAAAGGAGTTTGTAACAAAGTGTATTATTTTATCATTGACTAGCGGCCCATCAGCGGGCTTCACATGAGTGTATTTAATGCTATGGAAACGTAATGAATCAGCATCTGAAAAAAGAACATCAGGAAATAACAGGTATATAAGTAGGTACGATCTGATGAAATGGTTTCGAAATCGGTCAAGTGTTTGAAAAATAGGATTTCACCCCTGGAGCTCCCGTGTCCGTGGAATTAACCGAACAAAAATTTGTACTTATTCTTCTACAATTACAAACATTGAAGATTTTGTTTAGAAAATCAGTTAAGTGGTTTAAGAAACAGGATTTGACACCCTTAGTCTCATTCCCCTAAAATTGTAGGGAAAAAAAAATGTTTTTTGTAATACTTTACAATTTGAAAAATGTCTAACTGGTAGAAGAAATAAGGTAAAGAAAGATCTTGCATAATTATCATAATCTTGATAGGTGGCCCGTAAACCAATTCACAGAGGATTAAGGTTTTACTTTTTCGCTTAGTTAAGTTAATGCTTTATTGAGAATATACAAAACTTAGTGGACGCCAGCGCATATTATTTACATTTACAATGTTCTAGTTTTTGTTTAATACAGTTCTGCAACATCTTTGTAATGTTTTTTTTTTGACATGATTCCATATCGTATTCGTTATATTCTACGTGGATAAAAATGATAGAGTACTTAAAGTCATACGTGAAGCAGCAAGTCTTGCAGTGGTTAAAGCCCAAAAAGAATTAACCACAAATAAAACCAAAAACAAATTAACTTTACAAAAGAAGGCTCAACTGTTAGCAAAAAACAAGCCTTTCGCAATCCTAGATACTGCACCTGACTGGACTATTTTAATGGATACGTATGAAAAGCACTACAAAACTAGAGGATATGGTTGTTTCGTCATCCAGGCTGGACATATTGCTCTTTTCTAGGCACATAAAACATATATTAATAATAGAGCTTACTGTACCGTGGGAAAATAACATTCTAAAAGACCACACAATAAAATAACACTAACTAAAAATGGCTATCTAGTTAATTTATATGCGGTAGAAGTAGGAGCGAGAGGTATACTAGCAAAATCTCTATGAATACCTAGGCCTGTCGAGAACTGAAGTGAGTTCAATTTTGGAACGAGTAACTAAAGCTACACTAACAGACTCCTATCAAATTAGGCTAGGAAAAGCGGGCAACTCGAGCAGTAAAGGTGAACGTTGATGCGCATCTTAAAGGGGTCTCCTTAGGTGTAGGTTACACCTGGGTCGCAAGTCCCGGGAACTGTTCAGAATTTCTCCCTCTTCCACACGATGGACCCGGCACCCGCACGGTGAATCCATGGATCGCTAAGAAATTCTTCTTTCTCTATAAGTCTGACGACGATATACGGACAATATGAGGAGTTGCGTTTATGTTCCATGTTAATTTTTAATGGTATGGATGGATTTCTTCTTGATGGGGTAATAATAATTTATCCGACAGAAAAATTGATCCATAAACAATGTAATAAATAGATAGATGACCTTCCCCCAAATGTTCGCAAGCATGTAAGTATTTTTAATTTTCAATAAGATGTTAACTTACTGTCTAGGTCTTCATTTGTGCTGTTGCACCGGACAGCCAAATATCTTTCGGCGGGGACCAAACTAAACCGGGAGCTGTAGCCACATTGGAGTCCATCGGTCACATTGATGCAGAACGAAATAAACAAGTTGTTAAAGAAGTGACCCAATTTGTTACTGAAGAAATGGGAATTCCACCCGAAAGGTAATAAACCATAACATCAAAGCAACTATCAAGAATATGACGACCTCCGTTGCCGAGTGGTTTGTACGCCGGGTTTCATGGTGTCGCCGACTCTAGGAGGTTCCCGGGTTCGAATCCCGGTAGGGGCAGATGTTTGTGTGATGAATACGTGCATTTGTACTCCAGTCATGGATGTTTAATATGTATTTCTATATAAATATACTTATATATGTACAGTATATGTATTCTGTCCGTTACCCTAGTATCCCAAAAGACAAGCCTTATAGTGCTTACTTTGGGGCTAGGCTAATTGGTTTGTTTACTTGGAAGAAGTATTTTTCACGATACTTTGTTTTAATACGTAGGCGCTTTACACTAAATGGATGAAATAAAAAATATTTTTTACAAAAATTAAATAAACTGACTTTAACATAGAACTAAACCGCTTCACATGAAATCGTAGGGAGGTTTCTAGTATGATTTTGAAGTCGGGCGGACTCATGATTGAAACACCTATACCTTTTGGAAATAAGAATCTATTCTATTTTGTAATCTTGGTCTCTCGCTCGATTTCCGAATCATACTAGGGCCCGCCCAATTTCGTGTAAACTGAATATATTTTTATTTTTATTTGATTATTTATAATTAAAGAAATAATCAAATATTACTTTTGTTGCAACATAAATATTTTTCTTTCTTATCAACGGCATATTTATTTATTTCGTCAAATATTGTAGGTAAACTTAAAATAAAACACCGTATGTTATAACATCGATATATTTTTCAGTTCCAAGATGAAATGTCATCAACACTTACATACATAGTTAAAGTCATCTACTGCTATAACATTAATTATACAATACATTTCGAGGAATATAAATTTTCATCCACTTTTAAACTCTTTACCAACTCAATCAATATTATATTTAATTAATATACTAAATTATTTTTAATCTACTTAAATTATGTAAGTATATCCGATTTTTACTTTTGTCAAAAACACAGATTAAGAAGAATATAAAAGTTGCATTCTTACTTAAGCACATTGATTTCATTTTATCATATTCAGAAGTAAAATATAAATACAATAATATAAATAAATATATTTTCAAATTAAGTATTTTTTCTGCTATATTACAATTTTGTTATAATTTGTATATTTTTTCGATTTTATCCGTTTCATAATTGTAAAACGATCCCTTGTTTATTAATGGAAACTGTATCATTATGATTCCTAGAAAGGTCCGCTATAACTTATTTTACAATTACTTACTAATCTAAAATGTCTAATTGAACAGTAATAATTCAATGCATATTTTTTTCTAAAACAAGACTGTTATGTTTAATCAGTGTTTCTTTTTTTCAGATTTTTCATGACCTTTTATGACATAAAGAACTACAACGTGGGAATCAATGGTACCACTATTGGCTAACATCTATGTCTGCAGTTAAAACATTTATTATTTGATTCACGACTATTATAACTGACATCTACTTTGAATGGTTTATTTTTATTTAATATATTAATAAATAAGTATTAAAGACACTGATATTTAAAGACGAAATTGACAACCAGACACTTTTATTTAGACACCAGATTTTTTTAAGGAATAGCTTTAGTTTTTTTTTATTAGTTTAACATTGAATTTATTTAAAATAGTATTTGACAAGTACGTCTAAAAATATTGACTTATTAATCGTTGACATTAAACCATTGAATATTCAAAAAATGACATTTACCCTTTAATAATTATACTTATTTATCTATGAATTTTACTATCATCTGATTCAAATAATTATTTTTTTAATAAATATAACCAAAAATAATAAATTTGCCTGAATTGAAAGCTTTATATATTTAATGGATAATCATGTTTTTATCATAATATTGAATCGTAAAAATATATTTTAACAAGTATATCTTGACCGTTTGCCATAAAATATTGTCATAATTCGATCACAACAAACAATTGAACATTAAAATTATATTACATTAGCCTTTCATTGAATTCAATGCCGCGGTATACTTTTCAAAGCTTTAGTTTGAATGACGACTCCTTCCTCATCAATCCAAGATGTGCTACTCTCCCCTTCTTCCCAAAAACCTCCACTAGTTAATTTTCTGTTCACTATAGCCTCTGGAATAGGTTGCTCTTCCTCTTCCCATAAAATTTCTTCAACGCTTAAAGATTTTTTGTACTTTTTCTTATGTTTTTTTATTGCACCATACTTCGATCCATCGTCCATTTCAATGTTAGCCTTACCCTCTTCAACTTCAGCAACAGCTTCTTTTTTAGGTTCCACTATAGCAATCGTTTCTATAGTACAACATATATCCTTGTCTTCATCAGAATCCTGGTCTGATGTCACAATGATTTCAATCTTTGACTGATTGCCATTATTTTGTTTTAATTGGTGAACTTTGCGAGCTCTATCGTTCCACTTATCCAAATTTCTCTTTGCCATTTGATACATAGGCATTGTGTATGGTAAGATTCTGAAGAGCATAGTATAGCAAGGTATACATATCTGGCTTAAAAATCCAACCTAAAAAATTAAGAACTGTGTTATTGATGTTTGGGCTTGATGATTGATTATTCGATACCTAAAAATGCAGAAATTACTACATTCCCTAAATACTATTATAATGTTGCATAAATTCTTCACTCGCTAAATAAGCTCTCAACTTTTCTACTCAAACGGTGAAAGTCTATCAAATAATCAAAATTCAAATTTGGTTTATGAGTTCTTGCAATCAAAAGGTCTAATGGCTAACCGTTGCGTTGGACCGAACTAACCAACGCATACTTTGTTAAAATGTGATTATGAATACACAATATTATTATTTGTAGTCGTTCAAATTATATTCCGCTCCATGAAATGTTTTGCCAACTTTGCATGGCATAAGTTAGGTCGCGACAAACTTCTTGAGCAAAACCACAGACAAATAAACTTGCGCAGTAGATGTTTTTATATGTAGAATTGCTACTTGCGCAGGCTTTCTAGTCTATGGTCGTTACTCAAGAAGTTTGCTGGGATGAATAATAGGGCAATTGTGTGGCCTGAACCGCTTTACATAATTTATTATCTTTTACATTCCCTAGCTTTCGATAAAAAAGGATACCTATGACGTTACTTGTTTTTTTCTGTATCCATACTCCCACGAAGCATTGTATTTTTGGCCGACTGACTATCAATTACACATTCAGACTTCTTTAAATTGATAACCTATATTTTTAGCTCAGTATTAAAATGCTTGATTTTCTTAAAATGTAGTGCTTATCAAAATGTTTTATTCTATTCTATTGCAAGAAAATGAGCTCATACATTTTACTCAAACGTAATTTATTGACGTGTATGTGTTTAACTGTATAAATGCAAAATAAAATGACTGTCCACGTCTTTCTGGTATATCCGCTAACTCCATCTTATCCACGAAACGAGTTTTCATTGCAGGATTTACCATTAGTTAGTTAAACTTTAACGATATAGAAGTCCGAAATCCAAAGTTATATCGTGATGGTATTTCTGCGGATAGAACTTTTATCTTTTATTTATGATCTGTCAAGCCTATCAAGGGTATATAATACACATGCCAAAACAGTGCGATATTAGGCCACTTAATAAAAATCGTTAAAAATAAAAGACAAATGAAAAATCTTAATGCTTATTCTTGTTTAACTATGAAATTATCACATTACCTGACTAGCTGGTTGTTCCTCGGGTTTATTCCTATCCATCATAGGAATAGGGGTTTTACCGATAGCTTTTTCCTTGTCACCCTGAGCGTAAAATTCTTCAAAAATAACTTTAACGGTTTTAAGTTGCACTTTCCACGGCTTAGCCGAAGCTGAGAGGTCAGCGGCTGTCATCGAAATCGCCATGGCTAGGTCCCTATAAAAAATAAAAACTTAGAATGCAAGATGTTTAGCTTTGTAACTACATATTTACTTCGCAAAAACGCCGAGGCCGCCTACGCAGTCGGCAATGTGTGTAAAAGAAGATAGCGCGTCTACTTTTCCTTGTATTATTTATCAATAGTGGCCCGCCCTCGCTTCGCTTTGGTATAGACTTTAGTTTTTGTTCTCAGGCTAAATATACTTATACACAATTCAGTTCTTTATATAATTATAAACCTTTCCATGAAAATATCACCTGATAGTGAAAATTTTGTGGAGGAGCTTGATGGCACAAGAGGTTAGCGAGTTCGGCTGCGATAGTTGAAGTAAAGCAACTTTCGCAGTGGTCGGTCATTGGATGGGTGACCAAAGGCTTACTATCTCGAGCTTCTTCTCGAGGAAGGCACGTTAAGCCGTTAGTCCCGGCTGAATTTGCAGTCGTTTACACCCATCAATCCGCACTGTGCCGCGGGTCAGGCCCAATTTCCCTATTTCATCCATAGGTAAGGCCTGTTGTACCAAATGCACCATTTTTTGGTTGAACGCGCAAATCTTATTAATAATGGTCCGATTTCTTCTTCAACCAAAAAACAGATGAATTCCGTACAAAAACTACGCAACAAAATTTTGACTATCAGTTAAATAATTTTTCATGAAAGGTTTATAATTATATAAATAAATTAATTATGTATAATACAAGCCTCAGAACAAAAACAATATTCTACACTACAGCTCTACACCGAAGCGAAGAGAGGGCGGGTCACTAGTCAATAAATAAATTACGCGTTGAAAAGCCCAAAAATTTACAGTAATAGATAGTACTGATAAAATAAAATACTAAAATAAATTACTAAACAACATCGCACACAAAAGGTAGATACTGATATTCTAACGTAAGATAAAGAGTATAAATTAAGGAAACAAACGAACGAAGGTTACCCATTGTCACAATAAGCACAGAGACATGGGATGATATTAATAATAAATTTAGTTTTTCTATAATGATTAACAGTATTAACAATAAGTTGCATTGGATAGGTACAGGGTCTAGTGTAAATTTCCATTCGATTAGAATATGGAGTTTATGTAAAAAAACACAGTTAACTTAGACATAAGTCAAGTATATTTCGCGTAATATAATGTAGTGTGTGTGTAAATAATTCGATAGAGGAAGGGGAAGACCGAGGATGGCATTGGCAAAGCTGGCATTAAGTCGTGCAGGGGCTGCAAAGAGCTGGCGGAAGACAAAGAGATGGCGGGAGATGAATAGACTGCACCGGCAAGAGCTCTTCCTTTAAATTCAGCGATAGAGAGGACATCTTCATTTGTTTGTATCAAATTAATGGTGTTTGTTCTGATCTGATCTGAATTATCACATTTATGCTGATTCAACGTCGATAATACTGAACTCTATGCAAATAAACATAATGCTTTGAATCTCAGAAAGTGATATCTTTGAATTGTTAAGTGTAAACCAAGGTTAAAGCACCGTTATATCACAGACTTATCAAGGAGCAAGAACTCCACGGGGCAGGGAATAGGGTCAGGGTAGGCAACGATGCTAGTGATATTTTTAGTATCGCAAGCGTCTATGGGCTTTCGTGGCCATTTACCATCAGGCGGGCCATACGCTTGTTGGCGGGCTATACGCTTGTTGGCGGGCCATACGCTTGTTTGCCACCCTCTTAACATAAAAAAGCAGATCATCATCATGATCATCATCAGCTTATTAATGTCCCCACTGCTGGGGCACAGGTCTTCGCTATGAATGGAATAGGGAGATTGGGCCATGACCCACCACGCGGGCCAAGTGTGGATTGGCGGGTGCTAACGACTGCAGATGCAGCCGGGACCAACGACTTAACGTGCCTTCCGAAGCGTGGAGGAACTCGAGATAGAAGATTTTTGGCCACCCATCCAATGACCGACCACTGCAAAAGTTGCTTAACTTCAACGATCGCAGCCGAACGCGCTAACCACCTGCGCCCTCGAGCTAATCAAAAATCAGATAGAGTCGCATAAGCAGAGTAGTGCAGTTTTTTACAATTCGCATGTAAGTGTTTTTAATAATTCGCATCTATTGCTGTAGTAATAATTATGGAATTATAAGAATTATTTCACACGAACATGAATCAGTCGCATAAGCCAAAATAACGTAATAACATTCGCAATGTTATTAAAAAACATATTGCTAAGGCTAATTTCAAGACGCTTACATAATATCATCATTACAGTTATATCCACTTATTAATGTATTTTATACGTAATAAAATTGTTAAAAACAAACATTACTTGTGTTTAGGTGTGTGCCAATCAAATTTTGGTTCCGAGTGGTCATCATGAAGCCCCTTAATTTTTTCCAGATTTGGGAAAAATGCTGCCAAATCTGTGGCTAGAATAGCCTGACGGATAAATCCTAATACTTCTTTATACTCCTCACTAGATAAATGTGCAAATATATTGTGTCCATCCTGAAAAATATTTAAGCAAAGCATTACAAGGTTGTCAAAATCCGTACATAAGTATCCTCCAATAGTGGTTTTAATCGAGTGAAACTTCACAAATTAAAGAGCCAAATTAAAAATAATAAAATAAAAGCTCATTTGTGAATCTCAAATTATAAATTAACATGGCAAAAGTAGGTAAATACTATACTTATGCATATTTAAAAGAAACAAAACATAAACATGTACAAGATACAATCTCGTTTGTATTTTTTTCACTGCAAATCTCATTTTTTGCGTATAAAAACGCAATGAGCAGGAGAACCTAGAAAAAGTGGTTAGAAGCACAACTGTTATATTTAAAATCCAAGAAAATACCAGAAAAAAAACCTGTGCTAGGGTTCCAAATTTTTCATATTTTGGAGGAGTGGAGCTCATGTAAAATTTTATTTGGCAAACTTTTTGAGCAGCGACCATAGACAGTAGCAATTTTACAGACAAAACTGCGCAAGATTATGTGCAGGTTTGCTCAAGAACTTTGCCGCTACCTATAAGGAGTATATTAAATCAATTCATACTTGTTGTAAAATCGTCACCGTTATATTGAAATGGTGATGTTCTAATGTTGATGTCGTGTACATAGCGGCCAAGGGTGAGGCTGTCTCACTCATGTATTTATTGGTGTAACCACGATGATCCAAATCATGGCATAAACTGGCAACAAATAAAGCCAATCTCTGGAATCAAAAATTAGGTTAGCCAAATTTTAAATTAGCGTCTCCAATTATTTTGATTAATAAATATCATCATCATCATCATCAGCCTATTAATGTCCCTACTGCTGGAGCACAGGCCTTCCCTATGGATGGAATAGGGAGATTGGGCCGTGACCCACCACGGGGGCCCAGTGCGGATTAGTGGGTGCTAACGACTGCAGATGCAGCCGGGACCAACGGCTTAACCTACCTTCCGAAGCACGGAAGAGCTCGAGATAGTAAATTTTTGGTCACCCATCCAATGACCGACCACTGCGAAAGTTGCTTAATTTCAACGATCGCAGCAGATTTTTATATTAATAAATATAAAAATACATAATAATCAAAAGACTTACCCTTTTGTAATCGAATCTTTCTCCATAGTCATTCTTCAGAATAACATACATAGCTTGCGCTACTGACCATCCATGGTCGAAGTTATGGTAGGGGACTGTTCTGTAATTCTTTTTTACAGTCAGCACAAACCTTGTTAAAACAGACATATCAAAATTTGACATTTTAAACAGGTCATCGAACATTTTTATGACTGATTTACATTTCTCAAATTCATCAAGCTTGTAAGGATCAAGTCTGAAATCATTTAGTTCAGTGCTGATGTCGACTCCATCTTTAAGCAATGCTTCCACATCATTTTCTTTGCAAGTGTTGTGATAGCTCAAAACCTCTAGTGCCACTCTGTACTTTTGTTCTTTCCGCATTATTCTATCATACAACTTTGCGTTGTGAAGAGCCAATCCGAAGAATGTTGAAAAATTTTCAAACGACACCTCATCTTCGTGTGTAAAACTGATGTTGTCTCTTTTGTTAACCATTTGCACAACACCGATTATTTTTCCTTCAACTTTTATTGGCATGCATAGAATATTTATGGTTTTATATCCAGTGGCTTCATCGACTTCCCTAAAACAAAAAAAGGGGAAATTTAAAAAATCAAAAAACCTGACTGCTTAATTATACTTCAAATAAAAACTGAAAAGAAAAAAACAAGTCCAGTAGTCTATAATTCTGTTAATAAGGAACAAAGCTACTTTAACAGTCTACTACGTCTATATACTGCGAATACCCCATTTTCTTTTTCTTTTACATAGTACACCGCGCTATCACTTTGTCATCTTAGTAACTTTTTAAATATTTGTCGAAATGACATAGTGTAAAAAGCAAAGTTTATCGTCTTTAAATATCAAAAGCGATTAAAGTATTTGTTTTGATAAAAAATGATTTGTTAATACAAAATGTGCATTTTGGAAATAGATATCAAATAATATTTTAGTTTTGATTCACTATTTTAGCGGTAATGACTTACACATTAAAAATAGATATATGGTGTCACGGACTTTTTCTTAGAACTATTTAAGAGATACATTTTCACTCTACATTACATTCATGTAACTTTTATTGTTTTTGCAGTGCAGGCCAAAATGGCTCGCAGATGGGACATTTTTTTCCGTCTTATTATCATATATGAGCTATATTACTGTTAAGTTTCATTAAAATCCATTCAGTATTTTTGAGGTGAAAGAGTAACAAAGATCCATACAAACGTAAGATTGAAATTAAAAGCGTAAGTGGTTAATATACAACTTTAAAGCGTTGTAGATCCTAAACAATCATATAAAATGAAAAATGGTGTTAGAAACCTAAATATGATTTTTGATTATCTAGACAGCGATACCCCATTCGACATTTTTAGTCAACTTTTTTTTTTACTTCGTCACAATATGGCGCCTAATTTTGCCCATATTGAATTTTGATTACTATCATATCTTTAGTAGCACTCCCATGATTGAGACGAATCGATTGATGTATGAATCATCAAAATCGGTTCAGGCGTTTGGTCTCTAGTGTGCCACAAAGGAACAAACATACATATATAGACTGTTAAACACATAACCCTGTCTGCGCGTCGCGCTTCGCACTCTTGCATTGCGCAACCGGGTAAAAAAATAAACCTGCCAAGTGCGGCTCGGACTCGCGCAAAGGGTTCCGTATCATTATATGTACTAGACAGTATAATACAATATCGTGCATAAAACCGCAAAAACATCACGTGTGCTGTATGGGCGCCCCGTTAAATAGTTATTTTATTTTAATTTAATTGCTTATTTATACTTAAAATGGCTATACAACTAAATATTTTGTGTATATTACAAGCGTCTACCTGTTGCCGTTATTAATATAGAGCAAAAAACGGCAAAAAATCACGTTTGTTGTATAGGAGCCCTACTTTTAAATCAAATATATTAAAACTTTGCCGGCCGCCCCTTTCTGTTCAAAGAGCTGTAGACAATAATAAGTCACATGCTGAAGTAAAAAAAGAAAAAAAATCGTCTCCTTTTCAGGAATACGACGAGAGACGAGTGGTTTTTACGCCGGTTTTCAACGTGTCACCTACTCGAGAGGTCCCGGGTTCGAATCCCGGTGGGGCCGATGTTTAACAAAAGTTTCCAAAATTTAAATTACCTGTTAAATCTCACATCCAAATATGCATCGGGAATATTCATCGTTTCGCCAGAGGTGGCAACATGTCCTGCTATGCCACGATTAATAGGCATTCTGATTTCTTTTTTCTCGACGTCCGAGATATGTTCGTTATCAAACTTCAGATCAAAAACTGTTGATACCAGTTCATGGTTAATGTAATCTACGAGAAAAAGCGATGCTCTATCCGCATTAACCAAGCGCTGAGCAAATTCTAGAATTCTTTTAATTAGTTGATCTAAAGATACCATCTCTTCAAAAATCGCCCTGAAGGAGTAACAAAGTCGCTGAATAATGTATCATTAAGCTATAAATATATTTTTGTTTTAAGCATTTAGCTGCTAGATGGCCAAATCTAAAGAAAATTTACCAGAAAAAACGCTACACGGTCCAAAATTCAGATGGGGTTCGAACCTGCACCCTTCGCTATCCGGGTGGAGCAGAGGATTCGAGTAATGTCTGAAGCCTGGACTGAGTGGGGTTCTGCTGATAAAGTTTCATTATCTTATTCCAAATATTAAAAAAAAGTATTTGGCATAAGATATTTCATTGATTAAGCAGTTTAAAGCTGGAAATGTAAACACCAAGAGTCAGAAATTCTTCTACTTACTTCACCACATCTAAGAGAAAATCTGTCATATCTCGTTCTCTCTTTTTATCGATATACATTAAAGAAAAATGCAGTGCTAAACTGCCCCACACCGTATAATTTGAGCTAACCTCTTCGTCTCGTTCTTTAAATCTGTCCTTGACTCTCCACATTTCTATAACGTAACCGGTCTTGCCAGACCCGTTCAAAATTGGTTGATAGAGGATATAATTGGCGTCCTTCTGGAAATGAATAAAAAATGTGCAAGTCGTCTACAAATTCTGAGTGATATTGGAAAAACATTATTCAATGGTTTAATAGTTATAGTATTACCGCATTCTTGATCTTGAAGGCTTTTAACAAGTCGTGCGGTGTGGGAGGAAATCTTAAGGGATCCTCGTGCCTACTGATGCGGACGCAACATCTTTTTTTAGCCACGTCCAGTGGAAAGAATATTTGTTCTTGGTCAACCCTTTCCAAATGCATGAATGTATTCGGCGGCACAGGTTTCTACGATCAATAAATAAACTAAATACAGTGTGTCAATACTACATATAAAAAGCACAGATTTTTTGCAAACTAAAGGTAAATAAAATAAGTAAATTCTGTTTTTTTTATTCAGGGATAATATGAAAAGAGGAATAACACTTTTTAGATTTACATCACGTAAGAGCTGTAAAATCAAACTCACCTTAAACTCTGTAGGGTAACATAATACAAATTGTGGATGATCTGGGTACATTTTATAAATACGATAGGCATCCACACCGACTGCGGTGGTAATACTTTTTGCTAGTTCATATATAACGGTATGTTCGCTTAGATCATCCATTAAAGACTTTACCAAGGACTGGAAAAAACATAAAAAAACAAGTTAAAATTATTTACTTTTCTTTACCCACTGGACCCACTGTATAGGAACTTGAAGAGGGCTATGGCCAGCAGTAGACGTCCATTGGCTGATGGTGATGAATATTCTTTGCGATATGAGAATACCAAAATGATAAATGGCAACATAATAACTTTATTTTAATGCAAAGAAAGATTTTTGAACGGAACCACAATGAAAAATACTTACAGCAAATGGAGATTTTGGAAAGACTTTTTCTTTGAGTTTCGTCAATCTTCCGTGGCCTAATCTGGAGTCGGTCTGAAATAAAATAAATGAGATAACCTATTCTGCCGTTTTGTGGTTACCCTTGATATGATTACCTAACACCTGCGGTCAGATCAATACCTATAGTAAAAAAACCGGACAAGTGCGAGACGGACTCACCCACCGAGGCTACCGTACAATTTTGTGGGTATGCAGCATAAACGGTCATATCTTCTTTCACATTAATTTAGAAGCTTGAGTTTTTCACAACTTCAAAAGACCGTTTTAATTTTCAACTAAAGGGTCTTGACAGAAAAACGGACAAAAAAGTTATCCTGTAAGGGTTCCGGTCTCTTTTTGGGGTTTGTTTTCCTAAAAAAACCTTAATTGTCTCGAGTCTTTTCATTTTTATGGTATCTGTATCCTTCCTCATTATTATATTACAACTGCTTCAGCTCTTTTCTAAATGACTAAAGTTTGTTTTAACTTTTAACCGAGATCGGTAGCATAACTAGGATTATGTTTAGTACAGGAGCCGAAAGTAAATGATGGCCAATTCTATTGCTAATGGATCTTCAAAGTTTATATTTAAAAATAGCGGTGGCACTACGGGAGAGCCGACAGAAGTAAAAACTGAAATCTCAAACTCAAAAGAAACAACCAACTGTAAACAAAAAATAAAAGAAAAAAACGTCAAAAAATTGCCATAAATATATATCATATAGCCATAGGAAACCTGTAATGAAACGACGCATCCCCTTCAAGTTAGAGCTCGTTTTATTCGTCTTGATGAGTACTTTGTCTAAATTGTAGCCTTGGTCTTGGTGGTGGAGTTAGAAGGTGGTCACAGGAAGTCCGTAATAAAATGACACATTTCCTATGAGTTTGGGCTCATTTGATTTCGCTCACAGATTCGCCTTGACGAGTACTTTGGTCCTATATGGTAACCAGAGTCTGATGATGAAGCTGGAAGCTGGCCATAGGATCTTCCAAATAAAACGACGCACTCGAATCTAGTTTGTGCTCATTTGATTCGTCTTGACAAGTACTTTGGTCCTGGATAATATCCATATGCGACTCTATCAGATTGGGACATCCTTTGGTGGGATGGCATTCTGCCCTGCGCTAAACTTCTATGCAACCGAGACTTCATGGACGCGTCAAGCCTCCTCCAGCTCATCCTAGGCACTACAGCAACACTTCTAAGCTGGCAGTACCCAGGATATGCCAGAGGCGAAGAGACATATTTTTCTCCGTTTTTGCAAAAAAATTCATCAATGCCCCGCTTCTATTGGTAGTAGCGTGCTGTAAAATAGCTTAATGCGTTTCTCGATAAATGCACTAGCTAAGAAAAAAAATATGTTTTTATATTTTTAAAATGATTAAATCTAAAGAACAGTTTTACTAGAAAATATCCACGCGGACTAGGCAGCAGACGGGACTCGAAGCCGCACCCTTCGCAATCCGGGCGAATGCACTGACCAATTATGCTACCATGGCCTCGATGGCCGCGTCAAAATTTTCCTAGCCTTAAGCTGCAAGGCAGCGCCATCTCTTCGCATTGTAGGTAACCCACAATGTCAAATGAATACTTTCTCAAGTATTAAACATTTGAAAGAAGAAATAGCAATTATAGTTATGTTTTTATTTTTTTAAGCATATATCTGCTAGATGCTTAAATCTAAAGAAAAGTTTTACTAGAAAACAATCCACGCGGACCAGGCAGCGGACGGGACTCGAACCCGCACCTTTCGCAATCCGGGCGAATGCACTGACCAATTATGCTATTCTTATTATTCTAATAAAACTTTTCTTTAAAAAAAAAATTTGGACTAGTAATTCCTGATATCGGCGTGTTCAACTATAATATAATTATAACTAGTATAAGAGTAAATAATAATAATAATAATTTATTCTCAGACAATTTAAGTCCATAAAATGTTAGTAACAATGTACCTTAAAAACTATGTTAGTAAAGTATAAAATAGATTACAAATAAAATAAAATAATATAATCATCCCCTGCTGGAACACAAGGCACCCCCTACATGCGGCCCGGGGGCTTCGCATGCAAATGCAACCAGCGCTCCAACAGTGGAGAATCCCACCTATCAACTAGTGCCGACAGGATGCTGTTGGTGCCGCCACGTATTCTGCTCAGCAGTGCCGCGCAGCGTTTCCTTATTATGGCATGAAAGCCGTCAATATGCTCATCTGCGAACATACTTGAGGCACTACAACACCACGGCAAACCCAACAGCACCCTGAGAGCATTATTGTACTGGACCCGTAGTGCGCTGTAAGCCCTCTGCGTAAATCGGACCCACAGGCTACACGTGTAGATAGACTGGCAATACGCCTTGAAAAGTGTAATTTTTACTTGCTTTGTACAACGTGCGAACCTGCGAGCTAGCATATTACATCGAACTGCCAGCGCCCTACGTTCCCTATCAATATCTATATCATCCTTTAACATATCTGTAACCCAGTGGCCAAGGTATTTATATTGAAATACTCTCTTTAAATTTGCATTACAAAGTTTGACAGGTAAATCAGGACTAATACATTTTGTCCCAGCTTTGAATACCATAAACTCACTTTTGTTCGCGTTATACTTAAGCCCGTGAGCTTCTGCATAACGTTCACAAATTCCCAATAATTTTCTCAAAGCACCCACTGAAGGGCTCAGCAGCACCATATCATCAGCATAACTAATATTGTTCACACAGACTCCGTCTATGTGACAACCTACGCCAGTGCTGCTGAGCCCCCCAATGAGCGCATTGATGTAAAGATTGAAAAGACGTGGTGAGGTTATTCCTCCCTGTCTTACGCCACACTCAAGTAAAGATTTATCGTAAATGCTTATGATGATGTTTAAGAAACATTTTTTACATAGTAATTATACAGACAACGTTTTGTATACACTCACATAGTTTTGTTTAATTTTTCTAAAAAACCATCCTTCGAGTTCTTCCAGTGACACTGACTGCACTACATATGACTGCAAGAAATCTCTGTTGCGATCTAAGAAATTTCTTATATCTTGTAAATCTTCGCCTGTGAAAAGAGGTTAGACATTGAAATATTGCTTCTTTTAAAATAATCATACTGTGAATAAATAAATATGTACGTAAATAATAATAAATATTTCTAAGACACACGGCAATTAAACTAACTAGTAAACAATGTAAAAGGCTTGGTGTTATAGGATACTAGAGTATCTGTTAGAATGCCTATTTAAACTGATAAATATATAATAATTTTATATTACTAAATAAAACATATAAAAATCCATTATTTAGGTACCAATGCTTGTATTCATCACACAAAAATGTACCCCACCGGGATTCGAACTCAGGTCCTCTGATTAGACGACACCTTAAAAACTGCCGTTCATACCACTCGAGCCACGAAGGTCGTCAAAAATAACGTCGCATACGTGGTCACTTAACGTCGAATAGAAGGAACACACAAAATTCATAAGATATACATTTTTCGTTTGTACATACTTCTGTATGAATAAAAATAATTAACTAATTAAATTTAAAAAAAAAACACTTTTAAACCAGTCGTAAGACACGTTTATATAGTGTTTTTCCTAGAATAATGCAATGCACTATTCACAAGGGTACTACTATTCAAACAGCTGATCTTCTTGGAACGTTGTCTTCCGTTTTAATTTTACCTGAACTAAAACAGTTTGTTAATGTATCTACCGCAAAATATCGAGAACGCGAGAGAAACACAAAGTAAATAGCCACCACATGCTGCATTAAAAAAATGGCTTCGGTATCGATTGCAGATTATACCCCAAGTATTCTCTTAAAAAAATATACAATGTACAGTTTTGATTTTGCTACCATTTTATTATATGTATAGATTGTTATGTTCACGTTCACTACACTCAGTTGACAAATATAGGAAAGTACAATAATATTTCAAACTATAATACTCCGTACTCAACTCACATACTCAATCGGTTTAACTCAATCGAGCAAACACGTCGAGTAAAATCCACGGCACCGGCTATCAGCTACACATTCAGCATTCTTTTGTCAAGTGGCGCCCAATGGTTATTTCTTATTCACCGAATCGTCGAAGCCAAATAATGTCTGTTCAACCAACGAGGCAGTAGCTGCATTCTGCAAGTGTTGCAATATCTTGGACACGTACATAGACTCCAGTCGAGTTCAACGGCTCACTTCAAGCCAGTGCGAAAGGAATTAAATACATACAATAATCCCATAGAGCTGGCTCCAAGCGAGCTGTCGAGTTGAGCGTTTTGCAGTCCACGCGTCGAATTTAACTCCTTATAGAGTAAAACTATCTAGTAATACAGTGAGTGAGTACAGCGCATAATTATTTAGTTTTATTTTTGTATAATAATATTGAAGCAAGTGGACTTTATTTATAATACATATCTCTATTATTCTCTATTTATCTATTGAAATAATTACCTATGCCAGGTATAATACAAAGTCTGTTTTGTATGATAATAATAACATAATATTTTCATCAGTACAGACGAAAAAGTACTGCTTAAAATCTATCTTATTCATTAATGACATTATTAAGTGAAATGTATAATACACACAGTCCGAAATTGAGTAAATAAATGAATTTGTTTAGATATTAATTTGCAAACATACAAGATCAGTATTTTCGGTATACATATTTATTTGCAGGATATTTTATAGAAAATCCATGTCGACTAATAAGTAACGTAACTAGATGATATCAATCTTGTAAATAATTTCATTTATTTTCCATGAATTTCGAACAAGCATCAAAAAATACAGTAGTAAAGAATACCAAACCAAACTTTCAGGAACTGGCCACAAAATATCGAGAACACGAGAGAAACTTGGACAAAGTAGTCACCGCTTGCAGTATTTAAATAAATACTTTTGATAGGCCTTTACAATGCAGTCGTTAGCACCCACTAAATAGAGATTCTATTTCTATTTTGTTGGTAGATTTTCTTAATGTGCGGTAAACACAAAAGTAACGCCAACGACCAACTTCATGCTGTTAAAATTTTGTGTTACAGTGATGCGCGCGCATCTTAAAATTTCACTCTCATCATTTTTTCATAACGCGCCTAAAGAAGTATAACTTCAAAAATGAAAATGTACATCAAATAATTATTATTTTCTTTATATCTTTGTGGCACACACATTCAGCATTCAAGTGGCGCGCAACGGTTATTATTCACCGAACCGTCGAAGCAATATAATATCTGTTACACAAAGCGGGCAGTGGCTGCATTTAGCAAGTCTTGCAATTTCGTGGATACGTGCATACACTCCCGTCGAGTTCTACGGCTCACTTCAAGCCAGTGCGAAAGAAATTAATTACTTTCAATAATTCTATCGACCTGCCTCAATGCGAGCCTTCGAGTTGTAAGTTTTGTCCAGATGTCGAATTTTACTCATTGTAGAGTAAAACTATCGAGTAATACCGTGAATGAGTACGGCGCATAAGTATTTAGTTTACGTTTTGTATATAATATTGGTGCAATTGGCCTTTGTTAATATGATATTACACATCTCTTAAAGTTATATATTTAATAATTACCTATGTCAGGTAGAAACTCTATTAGAGTATGTGCGGAAAGAGAATGGGCGTGGCGAAAAACGGAACTAACATTAAGATTTTTATTTGGCAATCTAACCCAGCAATCTATAAAATGTTAAAGTTTTGTATTGATACGGATTTGTTTCTTGTTGTGATTTCTTGCGGTATTTTGTATTTAATCATGTCTAAAAGGGGTAAAACCTTACAAATACGGTAGAAAAGCACTACTGCGCACTCCAATCTAAACCCCATTCTCTTTCTGCACACACTCTATGAATATAATTATAACATATTATTTTCATTAGTCTAGTCGAAAAAGTCAATGGCTGCTCAGAATCTAACTAATAATTAACGATATTTGCCTTAATGTCTCGAACCAGCAATTATTGCTAGTGTACATATGATTGATACGGAGTAAGTGTATATTTTACACAGTCCGAAATTGAGTAAATAAATGAATTTGCTTACCATGTCGACTAATAGGTAACGTAACTAAATACTATTAGACATAAATGATGAATACTAGATATCAGTTCCATTACCATTTCAATAAATAAATTCATTTATTTTCTATGACTTTCGAACAAGCATCCAAAAATACAGTAGTACAGAATACCAAATCAAACGTTCAAGAACTGGCCACAAAATATCAAGAACAGGATAAAAACTTAAACTAAGTATTCAACACTTACTGCATTAAAAAAAATGAAAATGTATATAAAATCGATGTTACATTATTTTTATCTTTATTCATTACACTCACTTGACAATGATAGAAAAGTACGATATTTTTAAATTATAATACTCCGTACTCATATACGGTTTTACTTAGATCTGTAGTAACAAACACGTCGAGTAAAATCCACGGCACCGGCTATCAGCTACACATTCAGCATTCTTTTGTCAAGTGGCGCCCAATGGTTATTTCTTATTCACCGAATCGTCGAAGGCAAATAATGTCTGTTCAACCAACGAGGCAGTGGCTGCATTTAGCAAGTCTTGCAATTTTGTGGACACGTACATACACTGGAGTCGAGTTCGACGGCTCATTTCTAGCTAACCCGAAGTAATTAATGACATATAAAAATAATTCCTTCGAGCTTGCTCGATGCGAGCCTTCGAATTGTGAGTTTTGCAGTCCACACGTCGAATTTTACTTGTTATAGAGTAAAACTATAGAGTTATACTATGAGTGAGTACGGGTATAAGTATTTAGTTAAATTTGTGTATAATAATATTGGTGCAAGTTGCCTTTATTGATAAGACATATCTCTAAAGTTATATTGAAATAATTACCTGTGTCTAATAAGTATATAATTCTAACATAATATTTTCATTACTACAGTCGAGAAACTCGATAGCTGCTTAGAATCTCACTTGTGATTGATGTTATTTGCCTAAAAGTGACGAACCAACAATCTTTGTCACTGTACATCGGATTGATGCCAAGCAAGTATACTATACACAGTCCGAAATTGAGTAAATAAATGAATTTGCTTAGATATTAATTTGCGAACATAAATGGTATCAGTTTTTCATGTTTACGTATTTATTTGTAGGATATTTTACGATCTAGATGATATCAGTTCCATTTCAATTTCAATTGTATTTTCATAAATTATTTTCGTTTATTATCTATGAATTACGAACAAGCATCCAAAATATACAGTAGCACAGAATACCAAATCAAACTTTCAGGAACTGGCGGGCGTTCCCCCTTCCATTATTATTTAAAATTTGAAAATTTAACTTATTGCCCTTTGAATTCCTGAGTAGAATACAATGCTTTTGTTATCATATAAATTTAATTTTTGGCGCCATTTATATATCACGTGCCTTTATGTTATGAATAACAAAAATATTGATTGTATTATTTAATACATTTTAAATGTGATTGGTCGCCTCAGCAGAGTTCACGCTCACCTTTGGTAATGAAATACCATGAAGTGATTGTATGTAGCTTGTAGTATGCAGACTTAAGGCTAGCGCACACTATAGTCATGCCAGACCATAGCGCACTGCATTGCAAAATTACACCAAAGTACATTAGAGTCGTGACGAGACGCAACGCAACGCAATAATTGAATCAGTCAGCCGTTGACAGTCCAAAACAATGGATAGTTCTGACGAAGAGTTGTATACTATTATTGTGCATCGGGCGAGCACAACTGCCATAGAGGTATAAGGATAGATTAGGGGAGATATAAACTCTACTACAAGTGGAAGTGTCCCTCTAATAGAAAAAGAAAGAAGATGAGAGACCGCTAGCTTTCTCTCTCTAATCGCGCATGCGCTTTGGCAACCGTAAGCATCTTACTATTTCGATGCCATTGGATGCCGTGCGTCACAAAAGAGAGAGATAGCTAGGCGTCACTCTTCGTCTTTCTCTTTCTACTAGACGGATACTTTTAGAGCCGCCTTCGCCACTCTATTCTTATACCTCTATGACAACTGCTCCTTACAACGCACACTGACGCAGTCCGCATATCGACGCATAACATCGCCACAAAAAACACGGCTCGCCTGTAGTGTGCGAACTACAGCCGCGTCGGGCTGCAGCGCACCGCATTGCAAAATTGCGCCATCATAAATATCATCATCAGCCTATTAATATCCCCACTGCTGAGGCACAGGTCTTCCCTATGGATGGAATAGGGAGATTGCAAGCACATTATAGTCGTGACGGGGCGCACCGCAACGCAATAAATGTCAGCCATTGGAAGTCCAAAGCAATGGATAGTTCTGACAAATAATATTGTATATAATCAATAACGACCTCCGTGGCCGAGAGGTTTGTACGCCGGGTTTCATGGTGTCGCCAACTCGAGAGTTCCTGGTTTCGAATCCCGGTGGGGGCAAATGTTTGTGTGATGAATACGAGCATTTGTACTCCAGTCGTGGATGAAAATATCTATTTCTATATAAATATACTTATATATGTACAGTATATGTATTCTATCCGTTACCCTAGCATCCCATAACACAAGCCTTATAGTGCTTACTTTGGGGCTAGGCTAATTGTTGTGTTTAAAAAAAATGTGTTGTTTTAACGTATTAATATGTAAAGCAAACGTTAAAACAAAAAAGGAAAATAATGTAGATAAAGCACGAAGAATATAATTTAACGAAATTTTCAAAATAAAGTGTTGGGGAATTTCAGACCCTTTTCAAAGACCTATTAAAAATGAAAACGAAAACCTTTTTTTAATGAAGAATTTGAAGGATGATGATATACGAAAAGTATTATGAACTTGTTGAAATGTTGCGCCTTCCAACGCACACTGAGACGGGCCACATCTCAATGCTTAACATTGCCGCAAAAATACGCCGAATAAGCGATCCCCCCGCGCAGTGTCTCTCGATGCAGCCCAGTGCAGTCCGCCTATAGTTTGCGATAGTTCATATAAAGTGTACGAAAGTTATTTAAGGAGATTTTTGTTATGGGATGTGTTGCACGAGGCGCGTAGTAATATGTGCGAGCCTTTGTAGGGTCGTGTTACAAAGGACGAATTTCCTGACAGATAATTTCAATCAGACGACAACTTTTGTAATTACACTTTTTTCACATAACCTAAAAATATCTAAAACCAATAAAATAACTTGACTCTTTGGTTTTTTATAATTATGACCCCAAAAAAAACTTTCTTTCCACGATCTTTTGTGAAAACTTACGTTCATAATATAATGATAGTATATCCATCTATAATTCTCCGGTCTCTCATAATGTTTTGATCGATCGAGCAAACACGTCGACTAAAAATGACGGCCCGGCATTCAGCATTCATTTGTCGAGTAGCGCGTCACGGTCAAATGATGTCTGTAGTGCTATTCTGTAAAATTTTCACGCGAGGGTCCTCTGTGGACCCGCACGTATCTGTATGGGAAGCGCGCGGATCCGCATTGGGTCCGCGCATAAAAATTTTATAGAATAGTACTGCTGTTCAACAAAGGAGGCAGTGGCTGCATTTAGTAAGTCGTCTTGCAGTTTCGTGGACATGTGCATACACTCCAGTCGAGTTCGACGGCTCACTCCAAGCTAGTACGACGGAAATTAATTACATTCAATAATTCCACCGAGCTGGCTTAATGCGAGCCTTCGAGTTGAGAGGTTTGTCCACACGTTGAATTTTATTCGTTATAGAGTAAAACTATCGAGTAATACCGTGAGTTAGTACGGGACATAAGTATTTAGTTCAATTTTTGTATAATAATATTGATGCAAGTTGCCTCTATTGATAAGACATATATTGAAGGTCCCATTTTTAGGTTTTTCTGAATAAGACTTGTAGCAAATTTAATCAGCTTTCACTTTTCTCATGTCGCTAGGATGCATAGTTTTCGAGATATATGCGAAAAACCTAAAAATGGGACCTTCAATCCCCCCCTCCCCCCGGCTTAAGGGCTACGGGCGGGGACTTTTGATTTACCTTTACCTCCTAACTAGTCCTAACAAAGTTACGAAGTCAAAAATTGTGTTCCAAGCATTTCCCTCTATAGCTGTTTTTGAGCATTCGTTGCCTGGATTAATAAATTTCGAACAAGCATCATAAAAAATCAGTAGTACAGAATACTAAATCAAACTTTCAAGAACTGGCCACAAAATATCGAGAACAGGACAGAAACTCAATCTAAGTAGCCACCACTTACAGCATTTAAAAGGTGAAAATGTACATACAATCATTATTATGTTCTTTTTATCTTTATTCACTACACTCAGTTTACAAAGATAGAGAAGTACGATAAATGTTTCAAATTATAATACTCCGTACTCAGATACGGTTTTACTCAAACGAGCAATCACGTCGAGTAAAAACCACGGCATGGGCTATCGTCTACACAATCAGCATTCACTTGTAGAGTGGCGCGCAACAATTATTATTCACCGAACCGTCGAAAGGAGGCAGTGACTGCATTTAGCAACTCTTGCAATTTCGTGGACACGTGCATACACTCGAGTTCGACAGCTCACTTCAAGTCAGTGTGGAGAAATTTATTACATTCAACAATTTCATCTAGCTGACTTCATGCGAGCCTTCGAGTTGTGAGTTTTGTCCACACGTTGAATTTTACTCATTGTAGAATAAAACTATCGAGTAATACCGTGATCAGAGTACGGCGCATAAGTATTTAGTTTAATTATTGTACAATAATATTGGTGCAATTGGCCTTTGTTAAAATGATATTAATTACCTATGTCAGGTCAATATTATGTTAGAATTATTAGAGATTTTCTTGGAGAAATAAATTTAAAACTGACCTCTGGAATCTGATGGGCCGCCGAAGCAGCCACGTTGTCGTCTGCTCTTCCACATGTTCGGGCTTCGTTCCACCACGCGAGGTGACAGGCGAACGATATTAAGATGTTCTCCTGTTGATGTAAAAAAAATCAAAATTACACATTGTCGTTAAATTCGCGCGCACCATAGTTAACATCTGTGGTTAACTTTTATCAAGACGACTTAGAAAGAAATTTATAACAGTAGATCATGTTTAATTTTTATTTGTGAAAACAGGATTTACGCAATGCTGAAACCACCTCTTTAAAATACAAAATCGTTAATATTCTTTGGATGAAAAATTTAAAGTACAATAATTATTTCCCGAAAACGGTTTTCAAACTTTTTCAAAAGTACAGTAGTTTGAAAAAACTGCTGTAAAATCTATTCGAACTGTAAATTCTCCACAGTTATTTTAGCTACCATCTCAAAAACTATCAGTTAAACTTTTATGGACTATGAAAGTAATATGTGTATCACCTTTTTGTGACAGATGTGTCTACGAGAGCGTCCCGTTGAAATCTCCAGCCGACTAGTTGCACAGCCCGGTGCAACTTCGGGCTTATATACAACACGGGCTGTGCCGCCCGCCCCTCACGCAACCCCGGATGCACCCCTTCACCCCCCAAGTTACACGGGATATGATTCAGTGCAACATTTATATTTAAAATGAAATTTCTAGCGCTTTACACAGAATCTAGCGGAACCTTATTACGTATAAACTTGTTTGTTAAATACCCTACAATCTTTTGCTTTAACATAAAATACATTTTCATGATACTTAGAAATTCGTTTGTAAAGCATCCTTGAGAATATAAAACTCTGATTTGTTTAGGATGTTTTCTATTAATTTCCTAGTGATGAAACCACTGATATAGTATTTTTCTTTTTATGTTAAAGATGTGGCAAATAAACATAAGGCCCACATAATGGTAAGCGGCCACCATAGCATACAGACGCCTGCAAAAAAACTACTCGCACCGTCGTCAACCCAATCCCCTACCCCGTGGAGCACTGGAACCTTATTCACGGACAGAAATCAGATATCAGAAATCAATATATGTTTATTCAAATTGGATGTACGAGTATAGTACAACAACTTTGAATCATTCAAACATTTTTTTTCCTACGTTGTTATTGGATATACTCGTATATTTTAGCTGCGGAGAAAAACGAGCGAAGAAAACTCCACAACATTAAAAGTATAATGTAACAACATTTACAAATCATTATGTTGTTACAACATCAATACAATCATGATTTTTTTAATATAGTAAACCTGTTGGAATGATTGGAACAGTTCGAATCCAAGCATTTTTGTCTGTAATATAATCAGACACTTTGTAATAAGCTTTTTTAATAAGTGCTTTTTTATACTATCTTTGAATTTATTTATGGTTAAGGTTAACTCTTGGATATTGCTTGGGACATTATTGTATAAGCGAACACAAAGACCTTTAAATGAATTATTGATTTTGTGAAGCCTAGTAGCACGAAAACACAACACCACCGAAAAGTTGTGTTATTTTACGGTAATCTTCTACATATAAGATGGAGGTTACTTTCCCAGACGGGCGCTCGAGCAGAATATCCGCTTTACCCTAGTTCATGTATTTCTGCCGGTGAGTAAAGTGTTCAGGGCTCCACGCGACAGGGGATGGGTGTATTGTAGGCACACCGCGAGCGCTATCCACTTATTGTATAGATTATGAAGTGTACCTTAAATATTATATGTAAAATGCGGCATACAAATTTACACTAGTCTTTTTTTTAATTTTTTTTACATCAACAGGAGAACATCTTAATACCGTTCACCTATTTCAAGTTTTATTTTTGGAACACAAAGTAGTGAAATTCTCTTAACTTTACCAGTATTCTTTCCTTTTACTTTTCTATGGTGCATGACAAGGATAGATTTATTGTTAAGATTATTTTTAAGAATTTAGCTACAATACATTTTTATGGTTTAAGGTGAAAACGTATTAGACAACAGGAAATGATTCCATTTTTAGGGTTCTGTAGTCTTGACAAGGAACCCTTATAGTTTCGTCATGTCCCTCTGTCTGTCCGTCCACGGTTTTACTTGGAGACTGTTAGCACTAGAGAACTGTAATTTTGTGAAGATATGTATGTCAATCATGCCAACAAAATGGTAGAATAAAATATTAAAAAATAATTCTTTTTAGGGTAGCTCCCCTACATGTGACCTTTTTTTTGTGTTTGGAAAATGCCTTACGCATCCTTCAACCACTGGGGGAGCGAGAAGAAGGTATGTGGGACTCCTCCCTGTCCTCTTCAGCCAGCCTTGGAGCTCGCTGATGTGAACAGGGCCCAACCTACGCCCTGAACAGGGCCACTAAAAACCAGACAATACTCCTGCACCGTCACCCGACACATGTACATGTGACCTGGGATGATTTTATTATTTCATCGTCTACCGTATCCTGCGGGGTATCGTTAAATAGTTCCTTTAAATTATTTAGGGGTCCGTTTCCGAAAAAATTAAAGAAGGGCGTCCCCCTCTAAAAACACTTTATTGACTTGAAAATCCTGGGAAAATTCATGATAATAGTGCTTTTCATGAACTTTTTTAGGGAAATTATAATAGGTAAAATAGATTTGTTAGTTTAAGAGTATTAGTCGTTCAACTTTTGTATTAGAAAATTTCTGACCAAATTAAAATTCTTTAGAAGAAAACATTAAAAGACAGACGAAGTAATTGCTTAACATATATACTATTTCCAAAATATATTGTGGTGACGACGAGCAACTACGGACCCCTACACTGCGTGTGGCGCGAAACGCACTTGGCCGGTTTTATAATATTAGTTTGAATTGTAAGAATCGGTATTATGCAAAAATAAGCGAATTAAAGGTACACAGATAAATCAGTAAGTACACTTACGTATTATCAGGTTGAACAATTGTTATTCTGTTGGCAAAATGTATAAGAGCTATTTCAATACTTCATTAATCACACTGCAACTTTCAAGTGAAAACAGATTAATCCGAAACAAAACCCCCATCAGGTTCGAGTGGTCTGATGGCTCTAGACGGGGAGGGGATACCCCGCCTGAAGGGAGATGCCATCTGTCTGGAGTACATATAGAGGCACTCGCCAATAGGGATAATGTTTTATTTTGTCTATTAGTCAGATTCTCAAAAAGAATTGGACACTTATACATATTTTAATTTTTGACATATTTTCTTTTATACATATTTTAATTTTTTCACATTTGCTATGGGCATATTGCCTGGGGCAAAGTGGCCATCATTTAGCAAATGTCGTTATATGAAATAACTCGTTACTGTTTCGTTTTTAAATAACTAACATTAAGATTGCGTCGTTACCCAACCCGCGGGCCCAAAGCGTAATATTAGGTGGGTGCTAACGACAGTAGATGCGACAGTGATGGCCGGGACCAACGGGTTAACATGCCTTCTGAAGCAAGGAGTACCTCTAGATAATAAGTTTTTGGTCACCCATCCAATGACCGACCATTCCGAAAGTTGCTTGACTTCCACGATCACAGATTAAACGCGCTAACCACCTGCGCCATCGAGCTACATACTCCCTATTTTTATACTCCCCTAATCCTTATTTTTTAATACAATTATATTATTAATGACTTCAATGATGTTAACATCGAGAAAATTGCAAAGAATATTTACCTGAAAGTGGTCGACCATCTCCGCTAAGAATTGGGGGCAGCAGCCTCGAGGACTTATTCTCTGGTGTCCGCTCAGCCGGTGAACTCATTTTCGATGTAGGTATGTCAGGTACACTATTCTGAAAAATTGCAATCATGGGATAAACATATAAAAATATCTATTAGCCGAATTCATCGTTCACCGACGTCAATGTTTTTTTAGGTTTGATTGGGTATATTATATGCTGTCATATCACTATTTCTGCTACGGAAATATATATTTTTTTCCTTTAAGTGCGTCCTTAAAAGCTCCACGGCCTCCAAGGTGCCTAAGTGAAAATTTACTATCTCAGTGCTTCAAGCAAGTCAAGCCTGTGGCTGGGATGCTACGGCAGCTGTTAACAGCCAATACGACTTACGCATATGATGGGTTGTTTGTAGTACCCATGGTAAGTAACACAAAGATTTTAAATTATGGGATGGTATCTTTAAGTTGGGTAAATAAGTAACACAGTGGACTTTCCGCACATTTAGTGCACTCGTCTGGAAATGTAACGTCCACCTTACAGAAGACAATAGTAAAATAAAGGTTCTACCTCTTGGTTGTGTTTTTTTATGTTTTTTTTTTGTTTCTGTGGCTTTCTCCGTTTTACACAGAAATTTCGCCAATGTCCAGTAGTGAGAGAGACACGAGAAAGACTACTCGGTAGAAACAGATTATGGTGATAATGAAATGAAAAGTCATTTATTCAGTCTAGGCTGTTACGAGCACTTGTGAAGGTCAAGAAGCTACGCCATCGGTTCGCAAAACTACGGCGGGAGACCTTGTACTGAGAAGAACCGGCAAAAAACTCAGCAAGGGCTGATTTCTCCCTGTATTGATATATATAAAGTCGTCAAGTAAAGTAAATAACCGAATATACCTTGATCCTTGATTATTTCACTTTTCTGAAAGCACAACACAACACACATACACAAAGACGTCACAGGTTAAACAATATTAATTTGTATGACATGGGTAGAGCAGACAATTATTTCCAAATAAAAATGGAAAGGTTATTAAAAGTTAGAGTTTGATATTGTATTTTTTTATAAATTTACATAAACACAAAAAGCCAGGTTTGTCGGTTAATGTTAGAATTGTATTAATGTTAACGGGACGTACAGTTTTGGGTGGAAGTAGAGAATAAAGAGATGGGTGTTTTTGACAGTTGAAAAAAATGTGGTCTACAGTGCCTTCCTCGAGTCCGCACTCACAAATAAATCTGTCTAGTATTCGTAAATTAGATTTTTTTATGTAAAAAGGGTGGCAAGCAAACATATTATTATATTTTTTTTTAACACACACCAATTAGCCTAGCCCCAAAGTAAGCACTGTAAGGCTTGGGTTATAGGATACTAGGGTAACGGATAGAATACATATATTGCACATATATAAGTATATTTATATAGAAATACATATTTAACATCCACGACTAGAGTACAGATGCTCGTATGCATCACACAAACATCTGCCCCCACCGGGATTCGAACCCGGGACCTCTCAAGTCGGCGACACCATGAAACCCGGCGTACAAACCACTCGGCTACGGAGGTCGTCAAATAAAATGGTTTCCATAGCGTATAAACACTTGCGATACAAAAAATAGCACTCGCGAAGTTGCCTTCCCTGACCCAATCCCCTACCCCGTGGAGCCCTGGAACCTTGTCCACAGGCAGAAACACAACACTAACAAAAGGTAGTGTTATTTAACTGTGTCCCCTGTAAGGTGGAGGTTACTTTCTCAATGTATCAGCATAAGCTCTTGACTGGCCGTCTTAGTACTAGTGATTAATTTTTGTTCTTAGGTTAAGTTTCTTTTTTATATATTTTTTTTTTCTGTTTCTTCTAGTAGGTTGTAATATTGTATACAAGATGGCCAATAAAGGTTTTCATTTCATTTCATTACTTTCCCAGACCGGCACTCCAATTCGAGAGGAAAACCCGCTATGCCCTACCTCTCTTATTGATCCTCTTCCGTTGTGTTTCTGTTGCTGTTAAATGTTCTTCGTCTCTCCAGCTCCGATGGGATAGGAAATTGCGTTCAGGTGGAAAAGACGAAGATTGCTGGGTAAGAAATACATTAAGTAACGTTAATAAAAAAAATACACATACGTTATTTGTATTACAGTTAAATTTTTGTTTACTAGCAGTGGTCGGTTATTGGATGGGTGACCAAAAATTTTCTATCTCGAGCTCTTCCGTCCCGGCTGCATCTGCAGTCATGGCCCAATCTCCCTATTTCATCCATAGAGAAGGCCTATGCCGAAGCAGTAGGGAAATTAATAGGCTGATGATGATGATGATGATTTGGATGGATGGATTGCTAAGAAGTTCGTCTCATATAGGGACAGGTCAGAGAGAAGGAATCACGCTGGAAGGACATCTGACTACTGGAAAGACAGCCGAGGGTAATGGCCCAGCAAGCCTAGCCCGGGAAATATTAAAGCTAAAAGTCCGACAAAAAAAACACCCCTGGGACAGTCCGAGCCCCTCTCGGACTGTCCCAGGGGTATTTCTTTTTGCAGCACGGCAGCCTTCAGTCAGTACTCAACCATCCCAAGTGGACATGTGCAAAACTTCCATGAGTCTATGGCCTGACTTATTAAAGTGAAAACATCTTTAGCGGCGTTGTACACTTTTTGTAATTGGTAAAAACTGTTAAACTCGCGTCAGGACACGTGGCCTGATCGCGTCCGGACACGTGACCTAATCGAAAATTTGTAAGACAAAAACAATAAAATTGGAAAGGTTGTTGACTTTCAATATATTGGACGAAACATAGTAATATATTATTTTATCGCATTATAATAATAAGTGTCTAATTAGGACGTCCAGGTGGCAGCTTTATTGAGAAGAAAATGATTTTTTTACGATAGATGTCGCTAGGTGCGCTTAAGTGTGATTCATGTAAGTTGATTTCTCTGAGAGATAAACTTTTTAATGTAATATAAATTGTCATCGCACAATAAATAAATATTGTATTGTACGACATAAATGATAGTACTTTTATACTGATAAATTTAAACAATTCGTCCAAAATTATTCCCTAACCATTCCAAAATATCAAAAATGCACAACGTTAATATTCAAGTTTTCACTTCTGCCGGCACTCCCGGAGTGGAACCCGTCGTTTTTTTTATTTATTGATCGCCAACAAACTTACTCATAAACATTACTTATTTTTACATTTATAGTAAGACACTTTATTAGTGGAACTTTAATTATAGGCGATAACGACATGCAATACACACTTAACTAGCAATTAAATGTTATGAAATTTTTATTGTAATATTAAAGGATATTACTCGTTTCCCATACATTGAATGCCCCTGAGCGCACAGCAATGAGAAAATCCTAGTTGTATTCGGAATCATTCATAAACTCTCATTAAGCATTTGTTGAAATACGTACAACTTGAGGAACCTCGGTCTACTACAGAATGTATTCGATTTTGAGGTTATAATAATTATACTTAATCGTAAACGATGTACACTTTATATATACTGAAAAGATTTATTGTTTACCTCTATGTAATCACTTAGGTACATAATAAGAATTAAATTAACATAAAATGCAATTAACAATAAAAATAATAAATATTCATATTGATTTATTGGTGTTGGCAATTGGCATCTATGATACATCCAAGTGGAGATGTGAAAACTTCCATGACTAAAATTTCATCTTGAGAGCAAATCGTGACAGTCAATAATATCATTATCGAACTTATACAATAAAATATTATCCAAAATCTATTTAAATGCTAATTTGTGTTCGAGTAGCAAACCCCCCACCCCCTCTATCTAAAAAAATCATGATGATAGTGCTCTTCATGAACTTTTAAGAAAAATTATAAGGGTTAAGATAAAGTAGTTAATTAAGGTTTATAGCCGTTTAAGTATTAGAAAAATGCCTACCTTTTAAAAAGTCCTTATAGTCTAGTCAACAAGTGCCTTTTTGGTCAACTTTTTTCAGCAGTCTCCGAAAATTATGATCGAGGTGTCATTCGACTCGGAATGGCATCTAGATGATTTTTGAAAAAAATGAAGTTCCGCAAACAAAATTGCAAAAGTTATTAACAATTAACAAAAAAAGAAAAACGGGGTTTTGTTTTTGGCAAATATCTCAAAAACTCATAAAGATATTTCAAATTAAAAAAAAAAGATTCAAAAAGAGGAGGAAATTTCCTAAAGAAAAGCCCCGACTCTCGGAACTGTATGCAATAAACAACGCATTTGTTTATAACAATTTTTTAAACAATAACATATAAAAATTAAAAAAAAATATGCAGCTTCTAATAACATAAAAACGGATCATCAATAATATTTTAAAAAAAATCTATGATTAATTTAACTTTTTAATTTTGCGACAACGATAATTGTTTATAAAAAACTGTTTTTTTTTTTAATTTTTCCAACGGAGATCTATTCTAAAGCCTTTCAAGAATTGCCCCAAGAGAGGAAAAAAATCTCAAATTTATAGTTTAACAAGAATCACACTTGCAATTTTCATGTTCAAGCGGTTTTTTTTTTTAATTTTAACAATTGCATAACTAATTGAAAAATTGTGGTATAAATTTTTTTCACGCTTATTATTGTTCATTCATCTATCCAGTGAGCCCCTGAATTATTCATTAGGAATTTTTTTTTGGAAAAAGAGGACTTTTTGAATCTTTTTTTTAATTTGAAATATCTTTATTAGTTGTTGAGATATTAGCAAAAAACGAAACCCCCTTTTTTTAGTTTAATTGTTAATAACTTTTGCAATTTTTGTGTGCGGTACTTAATATTTTTTCAAAAATCATCTAGATGCCATTCCGAATCGAATGACACCTCGATCATAATTTTCGGAGACTGCTGAAAAAAGTTGACCAAAAAGGCACTTGTTGATTAGACTATTAAAAGAACACATTAAAAGTGACTTAGATGTTGCATCTTTATGACGCGTAAAACGTTGCATTGAAAACTAAATCTAAAACATGTTTAAAAAAAACAACATTCTATGACTTGTATGCAATTACACAGCGAACAAAAGTCGGTCATCAGTTAGATGGGCAAAAATGTATAGTTAAGTATAATTTGATTCAGACTGAATCTA